TTCTAAAACAGCTTGGGTTGGATTCAGAAGTCAACACAGTCTGAGAAATTGCAAAAAGAGAAGGGGAAGGGAATATAAGCAAGCAATTGGATAGGGACATATGAAGTTGCTATTGACAAGTCAAGCCACTGATCCATGTAGCCCAGTATGATCAATTCTAGATGGCAATTCTAATTGGAAGTTCTCCCTCCCAGTACCAACCAGACCCAACCCTTCACAGCTTTTGAAGAAGATTGACAAAAATCCTCTTGCATAGTTACACTGGCATAACACAAATGGTGTAACTGTTAAAAATGAATTACCTTAACTTTAGAAATAGTTGTAGATATTACCTGATGCATACTGAATCACAACTCAGTAAGCAACAGATAATGTCTATGGTGATTTCATAACTCAAGGCAACTCACCATCAGAAATTACGCTATTAATAAGAGGAATTTTGACCATTGGTTGTATTTAGTATAGTGTTACTCTTTACTTCACTGAAAGGCAATTTCTGAAAAGACACTGAAGTATGTTTCATCAGTTCACTGTGAAATATTGCTCCCTCTTCTATGAATTGTTTCACACTTACTGTACATTTTGGTTGTTTCTGCTCTTGTGACAAACTCCATTCAGCAGATCGTGGAATCATAACAGCTTTGGGCAAAGTTGTGTCTATGAAAACAATTCAGAACACCATGCTCAATAGATGCACTGCTATACAGGATTTTTATAAACAAGCGAAAAGCTTTTCAAAGTAGCATTTAAAACAGATTAATAATTGCAACATTTTAAAAACAGAGCTGTAACATGGTGGCCACATGTGAGGACTCTGTCTTCTAATAATTTAACTTTTATGGAGCCATGGAGCCGTTAAATGGGACAACTATGTTACAAGCTTAGTATAACATAAATACTGTACAGGACAATGCTATAGGATACTTGTACTTCTCTACTTGTACGTTGTTACATATGTTATCCACATTCTGATTAGCTCCATAGCTGCCACTGTTTCATCACTGTTAAATACCCTGTTAATACACAAGTCTGATCTACGATTCTTAGGAAATCAACAGAACAAACTCACTCTGCTCACTTGCAAGTACAAGAGATTCTGGAGTTCTTTCTGGCAGAGGAGGAGAAGAATCTTCAGTAGCACCTGCATCTAAAGTAATGCAAAATTATCAATACAAGTGAGCTGCTAATTTAAAAAAAAACCCTTCAGAACACCTTTAAAAAGTAAGGCACTGTGTCAATAACGCCCAGAACAAGTACAGATGTAAATAATTCATGATAAATATTTACCAGAACATTATTTTCATGGCTGGGTGCACACATGCTTACTCTGTACAAAAGTGCTTTGCCCCAAAGCCACAAAATGGTTGGCAACCCATGGTGACTCCTCACCTGAGGTACCAATTTAACCGGCAAGATGCCAAATTACAGTATGCAGACACTAGAGATAGGGTGGATAAAAATAAATGATTTTTTAAAATCAAATTGATCTTTTAATTTAAATTATCAAAAAATCTTATTTTTTAATTATTTAAATCATTTTATTTAAATCAAATCAACTCTGGCTTATGACCTAGAGCAACAAACTAATGTTTTCTCATTACAATAACAGAATGCAGGCCCTTAAACAAAGCAAAAGCAAAGTGCGCTGCTTATATACTGTCCCATAGTGCTTAAAGCACTATGCATGGTTTACAAGTTAATTATGCAGACTACACATCCCCCCCCCCCAAACAAGCTGGGTACTCATTTTAATGACCTTGGAAGGAAAGAAAGCTGAGTCAACTTTCAGCCAGCCACCTGGGATTGAACCCCAGGTCATGAGCACAGTTTTGGCTGCAATACAGCAGTTTAACCACTGTGCCACGAGGGCTCTTCTGGCAATTTGATCAGTTATTAATCTAGCCATTTTAAAGAAGACTACAATTCACAGAAGTAATAGTAACAGGATGTGATATTTCTCTGACAACACTCTTTCACACAATTACCTAGGTGCAAGTTCTGGTCAATTAAATAGGACTCCTGTATAAACATGGACACAACTGCAGTATCAGGATGTCAAAGCCAATCAGTTTTGATAATATCTATATTATCATCAAATAATGATAATATAGATATTATCATCAAAACTGATTGGCTAATAAGCACAGCTTATTATCAGGTAAGGTCAAAATATTTCATATCTGGTTTTCATCTGCCTATTGCTTATTTTCTTTGCATGTGAACATTTGGAGACTACCGAGAAAATGTAGAGTCCAGGCAAGAATGATGCACCTAAAGTTGTATCTTTATAACTGAAACATCCAACATTTTGACACCTTCCCAAAGACTCTTTGTTCTGCAGATTGACACATCAGCAATACCATTATTTACACACATGCTAATTTCATTATTACAAACACAGTAGATCTTAGCAGAAGATCTTAACACTTCCACTTGACTCAACAGCTTTTCCAATGGCTTTAGTGGGATACATATTTCTACTGGAGAATAAGACTATCATACATTGGGCATATTATGCAAAAACAAGACTCATTCAAGAAAGACAATAATACTAGGAAAAGTTGAAGGCAACAGTAAAGGTGGAAGAGTTAACACGGGTTGACTCAAAGGAAACCACAGCACCGAGTTTGCAAAAGCTGAGCAGGGCTGTTAACCTTTTGGAAGTCACTAATTCATAAGGCTGCCATAAGGTAGAAGTAACTGTATGGCACATAACAATAACAAGACTTTAATGGGTACTAGCCATGATGATTGTGTTACACCAAGTACCAAAAGCCACATGCCTCTGAATACTAGTTGCCAAAGTACATGAACAGGAAAGTACTACAACATTCATATTCTTCTTGTGGGCTTCCTTGAGATTTCTGATTTGCTAACTGTGTGGATATAATTCTGAGCAATCTTATGTTTTTACCTAGCCTGTTAAACTGGCTCCCTGCTGGGTTATTAATTATAGATTTCCATCAGCTAGAAGCCATAAATTATTTCAATTTTTTTGCATCCAGTTCCCACATCAGATCACTTATTTCTAAGACACAGTAATCACCAGCTCACATAATGTATTGCTCATATGAGTAATTCACATGAGTGGAAAGCATCCTTGTAGTCCCAACCTAACAGGTACCAGCTTCATAATTTCTGAGGTAAGAAAGCAGGAGAAAAAAGGCCCTAGCTGCATAAGTTGCCTACTATTAAACATGCAGATTATATTTATTTATTTCCAAATCTGTGGGAAGTCTGCAATTATCTATGCAACCATGAGAGATTGTCTGGCTTTTACCAACTACTTTCTTTTTAAAGTGTCTAACAATAAGGTACTTCATTGTTACTAGACTCAGCCTTCTATCCTTCCGAGGTTGGTAAAATGAGTACCCAGCTTGCGGGGGAGGGGGGAATGTGTAGCCTGCATAATTAACTTGTAAACCACCCAGAGAGTGTTTGAAGCACTATGAGGCGGTATATAAGCAGCATGCTTTGCTTTGCTTTTGCCTTGAATGTGAACACATAAATACTTCTATTAATGCACCTGCTGCATCAAGGAGGCAAAACAAGGTCATACCAAAACAAAGTACCTGTTTAGTTCTACACATTTGGGAGGAAGAAGCCTCAAAGTATACAGTAATTTATAATATCCTGACAAAGCCTTAGTCATGCTTCTTCCCAACCATCCCCTCTTAATTTAATTTTTGCGGAATATTTTTGCTAGTCATAACCAATTACGTCTTTGCTTGCAGACAGATCTGTTCTTATGGGAGGGAAAAATGGGGTGAGTTGGACAGCAGCTGTTCAAATTGTTCAGGACACAGAGAGATATGGTGGGGGACATCAGTCACAGCATAATGAGAGAGAGAAGAGGGAAAGGGTTTTGGTTGCCCCTAAACTGTTCCCCAATTTAAATAGCTTGTATAGTCTTGGTAGCAGGCCCCCTGGGTTGAAGATACTGATGCTAAACACCAGATTGGTAAATGGAGAAACAGCCATCCAGGACTTGATCCTGGATGACCAGGCCAATCTGGCTTACATCACAGAGACTTGGTTGGATAAGGCTGGGGGATCTCACCCAGCTTTGTCCACCAGGGTTCTTTGTGCAGCAGCAGGCAATACCTAGGGGGAGGAGAGGTGGAGTTGCTGTGGTCTATCATGATATTATCCCCCTTACCAGGTGCCAGCTCCCCCACTTTTCTGGGTTTGAATCTGTGTATTTAAAAGCGGGGGTTCAGGAGATAATAGCGACTCTGTGTACCACCCACCCCACTGCTCAACAGTCTTCCTGCCTATGCTCACTGACCTAATCTCAGCTGTGGTGTTGCAGTCACCTCGGCTTGTTGGGCTGGGGGACTTCAACATCCATGCTGAGGCAGCTTTGCTTGGAGTCGCTCAGGACTTCATATCTTCCATGATAACTACCTTGTTTCCCCGAAAATAAGACCTAACCTGAATATAAGCCCTAGTATGATTTTTCGGGATGCTTTAATATAAGCCCTATCCCAAAAATAAGCCCCAGTTAAGTGAAACCCCACCTTCCACTATTGTGCAGCAACCAGAAGAACATGACATGACAAATTAATATAAGACCCTGTCTTATTTTCAGAGAAACATGGTATGTATCTGTCCCCACTCATCCTGCAAGGCACACTTTAGACCTGTTTTTCTGTACTGGGGTAGGTGTTGGTGACCTGAGTGTGGATGAACTCTCTTGTAGTTCCATTTTCATGAACACATCATCATCTGGTGCAGTTTAGGCTCACTGGAACTCATAGCCTCTGCAAGTACAGGAGACCAATTAAGATAGTCTGCCCCAGGAGGCTGATGGATCCAAATGGTTTCCTGATGGCTCTTAGGGAACTTCCTGAAGTTCTGGTTGACCTCTGGAATGGGGAAATGGTCAGGACTGTTAACACAATCTTTCCTAAGCATCTCCTCCAATGAAGTAGAGCCAGATTAGCCCCCTGGTTTATGGGGAGCTGATGCAATGAATGGGACGGAGACCAGAGTGACAACAGTGGAAGAATCAGAGTTAATCCAACTGATTAACTGAACATGGGCCCATTGGAAGACCTATTACACAACTGAACATGGGCTAGAGCCCATTGGAAGACCTATTACACGCCAGTGGTGGCAGCAAAGAAGTCATTCTTTGCTGCCATCATTGCATCTGCACAGTCGCCCATCAGAGCTCTTCTGAGTGGTCAACTAACTGTTACAGCATGGCCCACAGGAACATAGTACTGACCACTCAGTAGCTTGCTGTGAAAAATTTGCACAGCACTTTGCAGGCAAAATTGCTTCAGTCCACTCTGACTTGGATGCTGTAGTTAATACAGCTCCTGTAGATGTAACTATGGCTCTTGCTTGTCCTGTGTTAATGATAAATTTCAGTTTTTCCAGCCTGATGATGTGGACAGGACCCTTGGAGAGGTGAAGGCTAGACCCTTGCCCATCCTGGCTTATAAAAGTTGCCAGAGAGGAACTGGCTGAATAGGTCCAAGGGGTAGTTTATGCCTTTGGTCGCCTTGGTGGATGGCCTACACTGGGAACTGGACAGGAAGATTGGGTTCTTCTTAGTTCTGCTGGACTTCTCAGCAGCTTTTGATATACAATATATCAAGCAGCTTTTGGTATACCATATTAAATACCCTCAGCAGCTTTTGGTATACCATATTATACCAAATATGGTATACCATATTAAATACCCATTTAATATGGTAATGCCATCAATCATTGTATTCTTCTGGCCTGTCTCTCTGGGATGGGACTCGGAGGCACTATTTTACAGTGGCTCCGGTCCTTCCTCGAGGGGAGAACTTAAGAGGGTGGTGCTGGGGGACTCCTGTTCAAAACCCTGGCCATTGGCCTGTGCTGCCCCGAAAGGTTCTGTTTTGTCCCCTATGCTATTTAACATCTACATGAAACCGCTGGGAGAGGTTGTCCGAAGTTTTGGGGTTTGGTGTCACCAATATGCAGATGACATCCAACTCTATCTTTCCTTCCCATTTAAATCCAAGGAAGCCGTGTTGGCTCTAGATCATTGCCTAGTGTCTAGATCATTGCCTAGTGTCTGCTACGGACTAGATGAGGGCAAATAAACTGAAATGTAGTCCAGACAAGGCAGAGGTGCTCCTGGTCAGTCGAAGGCAGATCAAAGGAAGAGAGATTCAGCCTGTGATGGATGGGGTTACACTCCCTCTGAAAACAGGTGTGCAGCATGGGGTGCTCCTGGATTCATCTCTAAACTTGGATGGCCAGGTTTCAGTGGTGACCAGGAGTGCCTTTGCACAGTTGAAATTAGTGTGCCAGCTGTGCCCATTTCTTGAGGTCTGATCTAGCCATCGTGACACATACCCTAGTTACATCTCAGTTGGATTACTGTAAATTGCTCTACATACGGCTGTCTCTGGAAAGTGTTTGGAATATTCAAAGGGTCTAAAATGCTGCAGCCAGATTGTTAAGTGGGGTTGGTTACAGGGAACATGTAACACCCCTGTTACTAACAGCTCCACCAGCTGCCAATCTGTTTCTAGGCCCAGGCTGGTTTTAACCTATAAAGTCCTAAACAGCTTGAGTCCAAGCTATCTAAAAGAACGCATCCTCCTCTATGAGCCTGTCTAGGCATTAAGATCATCAGAGGCGGCCTTTCTCTCAGTCCCACTACCCTCACAGGTGCCTTTGGTGGAGACATGGGAGAGGGCTTTCTCTGTTACTGCTCCCAGCCTCTGGAAGTCCCTCCCACAGGAAGCCAGGCTGGCTCCATCTTTGCTGTCCTCCTGCAAGTGGGCAAAGACCTTTCTCTTCAGACAGGCTTTCCATTAATGTCTAGTGATCTGAGAGGGGTTTTATGCCGTGTTGCTTTTAAATGTGTTTTTGGTATTCACTTTATTTACCATTTTTAATATAGTTGTTTAATTTGGGTCCTTTCGAAGAGAAAGGCAAGGTAAAAATATTTTAAATAAAATTGGGTAATGTCCAGGAATAATGGATGTTTAGAGCAGCTGAACACAGAATGTTAAAGGTAGAGCTCTATGCGAGGAGGGATAAATTAGCCTACCTGAGCCCTTAAAAGTATCCAGCTTATAGGGACCTGGAAGGATGATAACCATACTTCCCTTCCTGTACTGCACTATCTAGAATTATTTCAGAAGAGGGGGAAAGAAAAAGAATATTTTCTTCTTCCTTCTTATCCAGAAAACCTACTTCTCAATATGCCCCTTTTCATTTATTCCACTTAGATACCAAAATTTTTCTAAGTTGCTGAGAGAATTCTGTATCCAGGAGGAGAATCTGTAACTGAATCTCTCCATATGGTCTAATGCTCATAACAACTATAACACACTTATTCAGCAGCTAACTCTGAAAAGGAACTTTTAAGCATTTAACAAGGTGAGTGTTTCTGGAGAATGAACAAATAAAACTTTTCTCCCCTTCCTATCCTCCTGAAATCTCTTTCTCTCAATCTCTCTCTCTCTCTCTTTCCCCCTGCCTGATTCCCTCTCACACATAAGCAACGCACGAGTGCATTAGAGTGGTCCATTAGGTAAAGCACTGAACAGAAATATTATTAAGGGTGGGTGAGACACTGCAACATGTTATTGTATGTTCCGTAGTGTTTGCTCTAATAATAAACTTAGGAGGTCCTATATTTGTCAGACCAAAAATGTAAAAAAGCTACTTCCTTCCATTCCAGAACAGAATAGTTTATTTTCTATACACTAGGATGACCCAGGCTGCAGATGTATATTAACCAGTAAATTTTATATTTTAAAAAATACAAGTCTTAATACAGCACACTAACACTCAGCAATCCTTTAGTCACATCACGTGGATTTGTTATTTTATGAACGGAACATTATGTATGAATTTTATAATAATAAAACTATTTTTAAAAAGTCAGGCTAGCAAAATCCTATCATCTTCCAGCATGCATGGGCTGGGAGTGAGGAAAGGGTAAAGGACTAGACTGTTAAAGCCTTCAAAATTTAAAACAATTCAACATTGTATAGATGGAGAATTAGGAAAACAAAGATGCACAAGAAGGGAGCTGAGGTAGAAACTCTCTTTAAAAGTACCACTATCAGTTGAGCTTATCTCAAACCCTATTTTAAGTGAGTCTGCCCTCTCGCATCACAAGCCATGCTGGTCAACAGAGGCAAAAGGAGAAGAGTGTAGGAAACATCCTTACATGAGCAGACTTTTATTACAACAGTATGCATTTCGTTTTTCAAAATTATTTAGGTAAAATTAGGCACAGCTTACCTTTAGAATGAACCATAGTTGGATTGTCCTGTCTTGCAATGAACATTGAGAATACTTTCCGGGCAGAAACATTTTCCATATTAGCAGCTGCAGAAACTGTGGCACTTGCAGTTGAAACAGTAGACATGCTTTGAGTAATGGAACCATCAGAGTTTCTTTCATCTGTATCAGAATCATCAGAATGCAGAGGATTCGTGAAACAAAGGGGTGCTCGTGTGCTGCTCTCATAGTGATCTGCCAATTCACTGGAAGTAGGCTCCACCTGAGATGGTGAGTGTGATACTACAGACAAATTTTGCATATCATGACCTAAAATAGCTGAAGTTGTGTTCTCCATTGTTGGCACTGGCTCTGCATTTTGAGTTCCTTGTATAGACCATGTGGCATGCCCCTTCTCTTTCAGAGGTAAACAGTCTGGCCTCTGTAGAACATCAGAACTGATAACACACTGACATCCATCTGGTGAGGATATTACAGCTTTATTAACTGGCTGCACACTGCATTCCACACAGGAGTTTTGTAAAGTGTCTGTACGTGCATCTCCTGAGCCTTGCTCATGTGGTTTAGAGGTCTTCTCTGGTGCACAAGATGAGCCACTTTTAATTTTAATGGCTTGTCCACGATTCAGGATGGTGTTCCCATCAAAACTCCTTGGCCCCTCCTGAAGAGGTACTTTTTTAATTTCAAAACTCAAGTTGCGTTCCATCTTTTTGTCTGTATGCTCAGAGACATCATTTTTCCCTGGGTGTTCTGCTGATTTATTGTAGTTCTCATTCAGGTCTGTTGGTTTTTCTGAAGAAACCATATGCAATACTGGCTTGGGGTGGTATCTGTCATTGTCTTGCCAAACAGTTGTGACAGTTGGATAAGCTGAAGGTGGTGATGGTGTTAAAATGGGTGGTACTGGATGAGGCTCCGGAGGCTGCAAAATTTCTTCTTTAACATCTCCTTCTACAAGGCAGCTAAAGAAAATCATTGCATTAAGCACTTCATAATAAAGATGCATAAGTGTTGTAAACAAGTTATCCAGAACAGAAATGGGGGAGGGAGCTCTAAACTCTAGAGATTACAATCACAGTTATTAACAGGTATAACAGTTGCAATTTTCAAAATATACAGGGATCTTTAATTATTGCATCAAATATTTTCAAAATGTCATATCAAAATCCAGAAATACACAAACAACTAAGAACACATTTACTCCATTAAGAAAAGGACATGTTTTTATTGTCTCTAAGAAACTACCCAAGCCCATTATACTTGTTTATTCAATGTAAAGTTGATTTTAGTTTTATAAACTGTTGGCAAGAAAGCCATGCCCTCTTGTGCTAAAATTTGATGGACAGTGTATTGGGAGCAAATGTGTCAAATCTACAATATCTAAATGCAGACTCCTAAAACTAAAAAAATTAAACTTAGCACAACTGCGCAAATAACATACTGAAACAAAATTTATCAACATTTTATTTAAGTAATGAAGTTTATAGAAATCTGTACTTTCAAAAGTTCATTGTCAATATGCAAATGGTGTTAAGTGAGGTGCTGTACACAAATCACAATGCACTAGTTATACACAAAACAAAGATACACTATATAAGAATGCTACCTGAATTTGCTTTTCTCCTAGGGCCCTTTTTTGTTCATATTAAGCTTGTTACACTGTATACCATTATTTTAATTGCAAGCTACTCTGACTTCACTGACAGAAAGAAAAATTATAAATACAATAACGAAAATAAACAACACTAGGCTCTATTTCAATCCTCTCTAATCTAAACAATCACCCTCATCCCTGACATAAAAGCATATGCAAAGGCCAGGAGACCTGCCTAAGACCTTTGTGGACAACACACAAATTTCTATATCTTGCAAATTCCAAGTTCCCCTCAAACCATAAGATTTTACAACAGGACAGATTCATAGAATGCATCATAAATAATCACCACAACCCAATCTTTTGAGCTGCTTCTAGTGAAAAATGAAAAAAAAAATCATGTTAAGTACTCACAGAGGGATAATATGAAGGCAAAAAAAAAAGTGTGTAACACAGTCTGGACTGACAGTGCCCCATTATAAATGTCACAGTCCATAAAAGACAGAACTCCAATTTCCAGGTTGGAGTTAAAACTTGCCTTTACAAATGAGAGGATTTTTCTAATTTCTAAATTCTCCCATACCATTAATATAGAATATTTTGGAGGCTATGTTATTACTCATTAATTTTGTAGTAGATCAATCCCTCACCTTTGTTGATATTTATGTGTTTTTAAATTATTTGCCCACGTCCTGGACATTAAAGAGAAGTCAGTAAAAATTGATTCTCTGTGTTCTTACTGGGGTTAAAAGACTTCTATTTCAACACTAGAAAATAAACGCTCACCCATTATTCAGTGGAAAGAAGACTACACAACTCCTATCAGCATACAAATGGAATGCTGGAGGGCAACATGGAAGAGGGCAACATGGACATATCTTAAAGATATATTGTAAAGATATATGGAAGTCTTTCACAGAAACATATCTTAGGATTTTTTTATATGTATCATTGTAATTGCACTACTTCTATTATATGCCTTTTTCAACGGCTTTTCTATTTCCCCCTGTTTTAATAATAATAAATTACAAAAAATATGCATGGGATATGGTTAACTATTATAAGAATGGTTCTTGTCTCAGTCAAACATATACACAACTGGTACCAATATGCACGTAAACTGTAATAAACTAATTTCATTTGAGCACTGTTTTAACAAATCATCATCCCAAGATTGAAATGAAGTAGCGAAACTATTGAAACATTTTAATCTGGTTAATTCATCTTTTTTGCACTCTCAAAATCAACACATCATTAACTTTTCAATAAAAAAACTATGAAGTAAAAAAGGAAGATTTAGACAAAGCTAATGACAGTCTTATTATGATGGAATGGGATCACAATACCCCGCCAAAAATATGGAGCATCCAGTTTACACAGGTTTTTCCCTTAAAGGGAGATGCCTTCAGGTAATGCAAATGTATGAGGATGAGGATGTTTGTTCCTCAGCCATAAACACTGCTGCACCCTGGATAAAAGTCTGAACGAGGCCTCAATATGGTAGATTCTTCAGTGTGCTATAAAAGTACTTGAATATTATTAATTAAAGGTCAATTTAGCAGGGGTAATTATAATCCTAATATATAAGAAGTGTGTTTCTAGCTTAATTGCACTCTGCAGTACAGTGGTGCCTCACTTAATGACGTTAATCCGTTCCAGGAAAATCACTGTTAAGCGAAAACATCGTACAGTAAAGCGAAATTAAAAATCCCATTGAAACACACTGAAAACCCCTCAATGCATTCCAATGGGCTAAAACCTCACCGACCAGCAAAGATCCTCCATACGGCAGACATTTTCGGTGCCTGTATAGTGAGGAATCTGTCCCTAAGCACAGCGGGGAGCCATTTTAAGCACCCGGCAGTGATTCTGAAAACCTGACAATCAGCTGGTTTTGATCGTCGTAAAGCGAAAATCGGTTCCCGAAGCAGGGAACTGATCATCACTAAGTGAAATTCCCCCATTTAGACCATTGTTTTGCGATCGCAAAAACATTGTCGTAAAGCGGATTCGTTGTAATGTGGGGCAATCGTTAAGTGGGGCACGACTGTATCTGTCCAAATTGTCCCTGGTGAATATGAAGAAACACTGAATTCAGGATTGCTTTTCTTCAGTCTTGTGTATAACCAACAGCTGTTTTCTTTGGTAAAACTCTGGCCTCAACACAACCAACTGCTTATTATAAGTAGATGTCATTGGTTCAATACTTCAAAAATATAAGTTTAGTCTCTGTATATCACCCAACTACAGTGGTGCCTCGCAGAACGGGCGCCTCGGAGAGCGATGAATTCACTCTACGAGGCCGTTTTTGTGATTGCAAATGCGATCGCAAAACGGTGCCCATATAGGCGGGAAATTGCAGAGCGAAGGTCGGTAAGCTGCTCGCTTACCAACCTTCGCTTTGCGAGCCGACAATCAGCTGTTCCGCAGCTTCAAAATGGCCGCCGGAACAGCCGAAAGGGGCCAGGGTGCAGCGTTTTCGTGCCCTTGGTAAGCAAGGGGAGGGCGCGAAAATGCTGCGCGCGGCCATTTCGGGGCTTCCGGCAGCGTTTTCGCGCCCTCCCCTTGCTTACCAAGGGCGCAAAAACGCTGCGCCCCGGCCCCTTTCGGCTGTTCCGGCGGCCATTTTGGACCCGTCAGACAGCTGATCGCAGCCATTTTCGTGCCCTCGTTCTGCGAGGGGACGGCGTGAAAATGGCTGCCGGCATCGCTGTACGGTAAGTAAACGTGCCGATTGGAATGCATTAAACGTAGCTTAATGGCTTTTTTACTTCTGTACAGCGATGTTTCACACAGCGAGGGTTAATCCGGAACGGATTAACCTCGCTGTGCGAGGCACCACTGTATTTACATTAATTAATAACTCTCGCTGAGGCATACCAATACACGCCAAGTTTTAAAAAATTGTCTGCCTCAAAAAGCTCCCTTGCATCCTACAGAGGGCAATTCAAGGGCTCTCCAGCACCCCAGCATCCACTCACATCCCTCAAAGCCTCCTCATTTTAAAGATACCACAAGACCTTGATTTTTTGTTTGTTTTGTTACGTCTGCTGAAAAAGATTAACATAACTACCCCTTTGAAAATTTGTAAACTATTTATTGGCCATTACACTATGATGCTGGCAAAATATGTTCATGCAAGTGTGTTAACTAAAATCCTACGCAAGCTTCCTATTAACTGCCAAAAAGTGCATAAGGTGAAAGCATGGACCTCCTAGTTAAGTCTACCCCCTCTGTTGCACCCTGATGCCCTCTACAGTTTGAAAGAAAAACCTTGCAGCACAAATACTATTACTCAGACACAGTGCGCCCATGAAGTTTAGAATACAGCACACAATGTGCACAAGAAACCTAGATAAAAACAGTGGGATTCCTACTGCAGCTATTTGTTTCCCCATCCTAGAGTGCAACAGGGCCAGTAATTAGGATGTGACAGCAGAGGTGGAACTAACTAGCACTTCCTGCTCATCCCACGATCATGTGACGAGAAGAACACTTGAATGAGGCTTACATACTGGTAGAAATCAAACAGATCCATACTAAGTTATTTCTACTGAATCATCAAAACAATTCCTTGCTTTAAGAGTACCTGCGAGTACGAGGTGGTTTCGGTGGAGGAGAATCTTGTTTCTCGAGGTCTCCAGAACTGATGGTGTTCTCTATGGTAACTTCATTCTATCAAGAAAATTAAATTCCCAAGAGATTTATTCGAAGATTAAGAGCTATATCCATGGAAAACAGAATCAAAAGAATAAATTCTAGAAACATAATGAAAATGCAAATCATAACTAAAGCATGAATACTAAACTTTTAAGGGATTCTACTTAAGTAGGCATTTCCTTTCAACATAACTGTGTATAGGAAGAGTTAAAAGCTAGAATACACTTTTAGTTCAGATTCTTATTTGAGTATAAGTAAAATGCAAAGTTAAGCATGAATAGTAAACATAAGATTTAAGGGTGGACAATAGTGTCCAGGGGCTGAAAAATGTAGAGAAACAGAAATATGCAACTGTTTAAGTGCCATTAATGACTATAAGTCACTTTCTTAGTTCACGAAACAAAAAATGTTTATGTATAACTTGTTTTATTCATAACTATCATGGCATATTAAAATTAAAAGTATGTTAGTGTCTCTTATTTTTTTCAAGTTATGTGAAGCAAAGACGGAAAACAGAAGCTGTTATTAATCTTAGAGTAAAACAAAGAGAAAATTATGTATTCTGAACTTGATCTCCTCTACAGGATAAAGGAGACATTGACAAATAAACTTCATTTTCAGAAGAAGATCTGAAAGGAAAACATGATACAAGACATGGACCAAGACTCACTAAATCCCACATTTGCTATCTAATCAGTTTCATTTTCTGAGTTACATATGGATAACTTTCCCTGCTTCTCCATCTATTATTTTTGTGGAACTCAAATTTGTGCAAACTGAAATAACATTTCCTATCCATATTAATATATTTTTAATTTGCTGTATTCATGCAGCAGCTTATTTCTTATTTCTGCTGTACTTACCAACACAGACCTTTTCAAAAAACATACTAATATCTTAAAAGGAAACCAAAACAGGCAAAAACCATGAGGAATCAGAGGCTCTGTTCGTTAAAAATATTGCTCAAATAATTTTGTATTGATAGGATTCTTTTCCCCCAGTTATATAAAATGAAATACATTGCAACAGAGTTTGAGAGAAGGTTTTAAGGGCACAGAGAGATCAGTTTGTATAGAGCAATAAGGGGTTAAAGAAAGAACAGAGGCAAGGGCAGACTGCTAGAGGTCTACAAATAAAAAGTCCAAGAGCTTAACTCAATAAGTAAGATTAAAAGCAGTGATCCAATGAACGAGCCAAAGGAACCATCAACACCTACCCAATATATCATATTTTCCACACATTTTGTTGCCACTACAAAACATTAACAAAATTACACTTACAACTAAAGTATTTTTGTTCAACTGCTTAGGGACAAAGGTTTACTTACATTCCCTTTTGCATTAAAGCATCAATGGAGCAGCCCAGTGCCTTCAACATCATGTGCACAACTAATGAACCAAATGTTATGGCTCTCAAACATGTGAAAACTGGAGGCAGGCAGGCAGGCAGGCAGAGAGAGAGAAAGGAAGGAAGGAAGGAAGGAAGCAAAGAAGGAAGGAAGGCCAAAATATTTATAATGCATGTTGTGAAATGAGCTCATCAACTGTGGAAGAGAACAGATGGTGGTTTTAAGAAGAAAACCTCTTGCCCCTGTAAATCAGATTGTCTTCAGCCAACCTATTGGTCATTTGCCTAGACAAAGGTTATTCTATTGTATTTTAGTAGTTATATTTAAGGAAGAATTTGCTTTGATCCAAAAGATGTTATGTAGTCTGTTATAGCCTGGTCTATTAATTTTCAAAAGCTGATTATATGCTTATGAAGCAGAACATGGTTTATGAAAAAGACAGGCCCACTAACACTGAAATTAGGCTCTACCCTACTCTGCCAAGGCTTTAGCTAAAACAGAGAAACCAAACAGAATCCTAGAAAAAGGAACCATAGCTTTGACTATTAAAGGAATTAAAGTACTTCTTTGCTAACTATCATCATATTTAGCACATCAGGCAACACACAACCTAAGCCTTAACCGATGTTCAAATTTATTGATATGTTTCATGAAAATACGAACAGATTTCACAGATCTGCTCCACAATATAAAAAGACTCACAAGGAAAAAATATAACGCATCCTCTGTCTCCTAATTCTCAGGAAAACCCAGAGATTTTGCAGAATCTCTACTTCTCAGGTAAATCCAGAGATTTTATTTTATCTTCAAGGTTTTGAGATGACAGAAACAGCCAGTCTCTTTCACCTGCTCTCCATTCCCAACAGTTTTAGAGGCCTTTCTCAAGAACTCCCCAAGTGAAAACCCTGCCACTTTCTTGAATATTGCACTTATATCTGAATGACAAATCTCGAGTCACCTTGCTTTTTAGCATAATTTTTTGCAAATAACAAAAGCAGCACAAATCTCTCTCACCGTATGTCTGCTGAACTAGGACACTTAAGACAGATCCCCTCCTCTACGTTCTCTATAATTCATGGAGAACTCATTTGAAAGGGGTTAAAAACTGGCAATTTGGTGAAGAAATCTAAGACTCTGCCATTCAAATGCATCAGCTGGCCTCATGGGACATCAACATTCTCATTGATGAGACCAATGTAAGAGGAGTCAAGTGTCCAACATAAGAGGAGTCTTACAGTGGGGTCTCTACTTAAGAACGTCCCTACTTAAGAACAATCCAACTTAAGAACAGCTCCATTTGCTAAATTTTGCTTCTACTTGAGAACAGAAATCCAAGATAAGAACAGGAAAAAAAACCTTTCTTGCTTTTTTTTTTAACCTTAGGTCATCTTAGGTTAAAAAAAATTCTCCCCCTAGTG